GCTTCCCCCCCCCCCCCCCCCCCCCCCCGCCCCAAACTCCTTCTATTGTCTCTTTCTGCACGCGAGAATGAATAACGATATATGACGATATTACCGTGGAGTAACACGCGATCAAGGAGAAACATGCGATTTCCAGTCAGTTGGCATCAGCACTATCCATACCATCTGCATCGGTACCGCCATTACTACACTGGATTATTAAGTCAGACCTCACACCTGCTACGCACTATTCTATACGACCTCGATACCTGTGATAGGACTTGGGAAGCCACATTCATGCTTTTTCCTGCAAGGATTCAGATATACTCTTTTATGCTTTCGTTTTATTTTTTAAAAATATATATTTATAAAAGGCCGCAAGAAACAGCAAATTTTAGGCCATAAACGCCTTCATCCGTCCATGTAGGGCAACACAAATCATTCCGAGTCGTGAGTCTTTATGCTATGTTTGCTGTTGGGGAGCATCCAGGAAAGCATCCAGGAATTCCTAGTATTCAAAGTCCTGGGATACTTGTGTCTGATCTTTCTGCTGAGCCCTCATTTTTACCCAGGTGAAAGTGCAATTTCGCAAAATCACCTCAAAATTATACATTCGTGCTTAATTCCTTGCGATTATGCCGTACTCCATTTCGCAAAATCATGCGTTTTAAGCTTCATCCTTGTGTTGATCTCGGTGCCATTTCACAGCATAGACTACTACCCCTTAAGAAAACCATGGGCCACATAAAGCATCGTACCGCTTCTGCCTTTTGGCTTTCCTAGATCCCCTCGGCCCTACCAAAACAGCCACGAAACTGAACCTACTCCAATGCGAAATTTACTCTCTTTTTTAATACGTTGCCGGGGAAATCCTTGCTGTCTGGGCAGGGAAAAGCTGAACCACGACAGGCCGCTTTCGGCTTTCTCCACCGCAGTTGATTCGATCGATTTCATGACTGGCCAAGAGCAGCGGCTCCTAAACATCCCTCGATTTCGACCCATTTTCTTTTCTATTTAAGTTTTCGTGACACCGCAATTCTGGGCGAGGAATTAAAATAAAAAACTCACTGACCTAATATAGCGTTTCATTCGGAACTAGTGAGACGCCAGCGGCTGTTCTAGGTAGTGACCGTTAATTCAAGTCAGAATCTTTCCATACTTGCGTCCATTTATTTATTTTAAATACTGAGGATTCTTCGCAGCCCACCTTGAAGCTTCTCGTAACCCACAGTTCAGAAACCACTGACCTAGATCATTTGCTAGAAACTAATCCGTTCATCATATCCGATCAACAAAAAGCAACAAAAAAGAGGTGAAATGGGCCATTCAGCATGGTCCACCCTTTTCGCGACCGGCGCCAACCTCAATTTCCAATCTCGCCGACCCACCTTGATATGTCTGAGCATGTAATCGATGAGGGTCTTCTTCTTGGAGTTCTTGTCCTCCTCGGTCATCATGCCGTAGTTGAGGCCGAGGATGAGGGTGGACATGAGGCTCCCCTCCCACATGTCCCACAGCCATTTCGGGATGTAGCAGAGGATGGCCTGCAGGAAGAGCACGAACACCACCCACTGGTAGTAGGTGTAGTACCGCTTCGAGTCCTCGTCGATGCCGTTGATCAGACCTGAGAGGAGAGGCATCGTGTCGGTTGAATGCGATTCGGGCTCCATCGACGTCGATCGTGATAGGCCGAAAATTAATTTGGAAACTTGAAAATACATAATCTAGGGGTCTTAAAAACTCTCCATACGATGGCTACTGTGCTCCTGAAGGGAGCTCTAAATATCTTAGTTACACAATTATAGGAAATAAGACCAGGAAGAAAATTAGATTGACTAGGCAGAGAGAAAACTTTCCGAGCTCTCGTATATGTTAGAAATGCCACTTTTTCCAGGAGTGACAACGTGCGTACGCACGTACAATATAACCTGGGGACCGAATTAACTTAAATTCCTATTTCTGGACTCACCGGGTGCAGGAACTTCGATCCCGACCTGCCTTGCATGAGCATCGGGCATGGTGAACGTGGTCGAGATCCAGCAGTAGGTGTTGATGACGTTGATGGGGACATCACCATCGTTGATGCACTCGATGGGGTTACCCAGGAATTGCGTGGCCGTGATGATCAGCGAAAAGGTGAGTAGCATCACCGTCGTGAACATGTACTCCATCCTGAAGATGGCATTGTCGGTCACGTGTTCCTGGCGCTTCACCCAGGCACTCAGTTGCGAAAATAACCCTAACATCTTGTCACTCGATTCAAACGATCAAATTCGTTACGAGGTGTAAACAAAACTGAAAATTCCTGCGAGATACTGGATCGCCGTCACTTCATTGTCCGACCGGGGTCTCTCCCTGTGCGAGACCAGCCGAAGCTGCTGGGAACGCTAACCTCGACTGTCTGGTAGCGAGTTACCCTCAGGCTATCTGTGACGTAGCAGCAAATGCCTCGCCCTCCCCTCCCTCGGTTCGCAACCAACGAATAGCTTCCCATCTCTCTCTCTCTCTCTCTCTCTCTCTTTCCCTTCTCTCTCCTCTTTTGCTGTGTGCGTGTGTGCATGGCGCCCTCCCGGCCTTTAGATTCATGTTTAAGTTCTAGCCTCTCCCTAAGGCCCTGCTGGGAGGCAAACAAAACTGAAAGACTTGCCACATATGGTATCACTTCGAGGGACTTCATGACCCTGCTTCGACTTCGAAAACGATTATCGATGATAAAATCCGCGAGTTATTACTGCATCGGTCCAAAAAAAAATTTAAAAAAAACCAGTCGGCTCTCGAAACCCGTCTAGCGGTATCGTCGCGACCGAGAGCAAAATACGATCGTATCCGAGCGACAGCGATTCGAATATCCGCATTTCGCCCCGATAAACGCCACGTGTGAGCCGAGCGTAATGGGAACGAGTCGGCGGTGGGAACGAGGGAGTCGGCGGTGAGAACGGCCGAGAAAAAGTCCAGGTGGAATGCAGCATATCTGATAACAACAGCTAAAGCAGCATGCCTAGCATCGACACCCCGCAAGCCGAGAATCACCCGCGGGATTCGATTCCCACTCGCAAAGCGCAGAGAGAGAAAATAATAAAAAAGCAAATTCACGGAGACCGCATACCAGACGCATTCGCACCCGACCGCAGGTGCTCCGCCTCGACTTTGGGCGGGTCATTCACCTCCGCCCACCCGGGGTATCGGTTTCGGTCTCGGGATTCGGAGTTGCATATTGTAATGGGCGCAGCGCTCGAGAGTGGATTTAAGTGAGAGGTCGGCTCTGGCGTGTATCCGTGACATGCGTGGCCGTGTTAATTCACACAGCATTGCGTAATTCGATTGCGAAAGAAGAACCTTATCCGAGTCCATCTTTACGACTCACCTCGAGGGCAGCAACAAAAAATACGGCCGTGCGCTTAAAAAAAAAAAAAAAGAATTTTAAAAAGGCCTGCATCTCTCCGATGGGCGATGCCGAGGGGAAAATGGCAGATGATGGATTTATGGGGCTCTTTAACGTAACGATGCCGTAAAAGTACTGGACCGTTTCGAGCCCAACGTCATTATATCCGTTTCGATTTCCGAGAGCAACTTCCCCGGGCAAGAGCAAATGAAAAGGCAGCTGAATCCTCAGCTCGAAGAGAAAGAACTGCCAGACTAGTTAGAATTAAAAAAAAAATACTGGTTAGACTCGATCCCACTTTCCACTTTTTCTTGACGCAGTCGCGACGGCAGCGCCACCAACGGCAGCAGGAGTCGCCGGATCATAATTAATTTAATGCTCGCATCATGATCGTCCAACGGTCGCAGGGAGTTAAAGATGTCTGAGAACAAAATTATAAAAGCATCAAGTACTATCGAGGAATCACGTCATGACTAATGATGAGTGACTAACGATCATTAAATGGCCATGGTGCGAGCGAGGGTTTTTTTTTTGTCTTCATTCGCCTCACGCTATTTTCGTTTCGATTTTGTCATTTGCTACAGGCGATGCCTCACCTGTAGCTGGAAATAAACGGTTTCCCCATTGTTCATCTCGATCTCGATCTCGAAGAAAGACGATTCATGGCTCCTATTCAGCGTTCGATGGTCGGATTCGGCGCGTGGAATCTTCGCGACAATGGACTTTTGTTGTTCGGAGTAAGTGATTCTCGGACGCGTAATCGATATTTTCTCCGGAACTCCCGTTACACACCGGAACGTAACGTTCGGTGACGTAGCTCGAAGACGATTGAATCCTTGGGCACGGACAAAGGCTTAATATCGTCACGGCAGATGATGAAACGAGGGCGGTGCTGGTTCCGCCAGGGGAATTTTTTCATTAGGTTTCTCGCTCTTTATTTTCTAGCCTTTATTTACATATCCCTTTGTTTTTTCCTTCTCTCTTTCCCCCCCCCTAGGATCAGTGACCTCCGAGACCCTGAGACAGACAACCACAAGNTGGCAACGAAGAGGTCCATCCATCAGAGGAGACCTCCTCTCGGGTGATGTGCGGTCTCCGGCTTGCATAATCGTTGGGGCCTGCCCTGGGAATGAAACCCGGGCACGCGGTTTTCGCGACCGTCGCCAATCGAGCTGGAAAGCCGCAAGTGTTAATTTGTGTCTTGTCTTCGTCCCCCAAGGACCAAGGCACGAGCAGCCCCGTTTCAATTGACCAGAAAGAAAGGGATGTTCAAGGCTATTCATCAAGTTAAGCGACGTCTGAATGGAAACGATCATCATATCAGCGCAGATGCAGAAGAAAGGAACGCCAAAGATGGGGGCGTTGATTAGATGCGATCGGAGTTTCCACCCCAATACGTTTCTTCCCTCAACGGTCTCGACAAAAGGTGTTTGTTCGAGAACCCATGGCAAGGGACGAGCGAAATGCCAGGCGGACAACTCGAGGGGGAGAGCCTGCTGAGACGGAGTCACGATCCCTGCAACAAAGAACCGCCAGTGTGAATGCATGCATCCCCCCCGAGGCTATCGGGCGATGCAAAATCCAGCTCTGCCTTGGTAACAGCTAGTCGGAGGAGCAAGAGGGAATGCAGTCGTAGAGCCTCCAGCCATGCCCTGCCCCTTACCCTCTTTCTTTTTTTTAAGTAAACGTACTGTGGGCTCCGGGGAAAATGACATGGCCGGCCCGGGAATACCCGTTCCCTTTCACTAGAGTGCTGCTGAGTACAGATACATCCACCACGTCACTTCCGTAATTGCTTGAACTGTTTCCTCGGCCAACCATTCAAATTCGACGAAAGGATCCTACTTTCCGAGAATCCCAAGAATGAGCATCAAGTCGCTCTCGCTGGGGAGTCTCTCTTTCTCCCTCATCAATCCTATGCACTACGTACGAGGATAAATCAGAGAGCGCCAGAGGGGCTGGAGATGGAAGTGATCTTCAGAACCCACGCCCAGGATGTAGGACAGGTCCTCCCTTATCTTTCCGGTCGGATCTGACAGGTGCGTGAATTCTTATTGGCATTCAGCTCACTCTCGCGGGTTGGAGAGGCTCCCATTGTGGGAAAACTGGATGCGAGATTGTGATGGAAGGATGACTCCTTGCAAGGTCACTTTCAACTTCTCAATTTCATTCGCCTCGGTGCAATTATCTTTCATTTCGACAAATAGAATAATAATTTCATTCCAACCGATCAGCAATTTTCGACAATTTCATCCCGGCTGATAGTACATTTGCTAGAACATCAAGCACTGGAAATTTGAAGACAACAATTTTTTTTAAATCCCAGTCTATTTCAGCAAACAGCGGTTCAGTTTGAAATCTCCATTGCTGCAATTATTTATTTGGTACCATATTATGGACCAATATCAACGCAGAGACCAGGAAATTCACCGAAAGAAACGAGCCGACGACAATGACAACCTTTCTTGAACCAAATAAATGCGAAGTGAATGGAAGAAGGAAGAAGCATAAATCCTCCTGAGACCCAAGGTTGTATTGAAGAGTTATCACACTGTTTTAGTTATGCTTAACATTGAGCAGATTTCAAAACGGCAGTTCAGTTGCAGTTCGATTTTAGTTTCAGTTCAGACTTTGACTGAAGTTCCACTTTGGCACTCTTCCCTGCAACTAACTACTCTCGCAACGAAATCCCAACTGGAACTGGAACTGAACTGAAACTGAAACTGAATTGCAACTGAACTAGACCGCAGTCTTTGAAATCAGCCATAGTCTAGGTCCATAATAGACGGGCTTCGATCATCTCGCCTCGTTTTCACGCGAATCATTTTCATACCCTAATAGCACATAACATTGATTCAATGTTGATTCAACACCCGAGCGTTGAAACAACGTTGAATCAATGTTGATTCAATGTTATATGCTACTAGGGAAGGTATATATATCTGTACTTTGAGAATAGATATATTGGAGCATACACTTCCATACCTGGGGCCCCAAGAGGATATTACATCTCGTTTTCTCGAAGAATGACCACTTTGTAGCCTATGGACATGACCAGACATCACTCATCTAAACCCCCCGCCTAGGCGCGGCGAAATGAGGTCAGTGAAAGAAACGAGAAGTAACGAAGGGACAGTGGTGCTATTTCAAACGGAAGAATAGAAAGTTTTGGAGTATTTGAGCAGGAAAGTCCCATACAGCAGAGGATCCATATGATTTCCCAGGTGGTGGATGAGAAACCAGTCTCCCAGACCGACTCTGCTGACGATAGTTTTTGCCGCGTCCAATTCCTGCTTGTTAGTACTTCTCCTGTAAAGAGAACCCAGAGAAAATCCCTTCTTTTTCTTCTCCTCCTCGATCGCACCTTCGGTTTCCTTGATGTTTCTGGGGATTTGTCCCTTGGAGATCAGAATCCATTCTCGAAGGCGAGGGATCAAGATCGTGGCGAGTCTATAGAACAAGCCGATGATTGTCAGAGTTGCCAAGATGATGAACCAGAACCAGAGGAAGACGTAGATTTTCTCATTGATGATGTTCATCGCCAGTATGCAGATGTAGTCCGCTTTCGAGATCGTGCCCGAGGGACCTTGCTTATGGAAGGTGCATTTGGTGACCCGAGGAAATACCCGAACCATTGGGTCTGTCCGTGAGCGAGGATCCTCATCGAGGAACTGCACCACCTCCAAACCGTATTTGCTGAATTCGTGGCCCAAGAAGGCATCCGTCGCATAGATGTTCCCGACGACGACGACGAAATTAAGGAATTCGCAGAGGACGTATTTGAAGAACCAAAGGTTGTGCCGACCTTTGAAGGTTTCCAGGTAATCGAGGACACGGCTCTCGACCTCCTGACGCTTATCCAGGCCCAAGACGACGGTGGAAGACTCCACTATGATGGCTCGGAGTCGACCCCCCTCGAAGCCCTTCCAAAGCAAATGCGGAATCCGAAATGATATTGCTTGGAGGAGGAGGACGATCGGGACCCAAATGTAGTAAGAATGATACCGCTTATCCTTTTCGGGTGCATCAACTCCCAAACCGGGGTGAGCCACGTCGGCACCGGTTTCCTTGTCGTATTCATCCGGCAGCGTGAACGTCGACGAAATCAAGCAGTAGATGTTGACGGCTTTCATCTCCGCTTTCGCTTTCGGTCCCAAGGCATTGCTGATGCAAAAGATCGGATCGCCGATGAATTGAGTGAGCGTCACCGATATGCAGCACACGAGAAGAATCGCAAACGTAAGACTGTAGTGGAACCGAAACAGGGTATTGTCGACACTCACATGTCCGATTCGAGGTTTGACAATTTTACCGATCGATGAAAAGGCCGTCAACATTTTCGATGCCTTAGCAGGTCGGCGTCACCAGATAGAGCGCAGGTCCTTTCGAGCTGTATACGACTGCACGCAATCGTCATATTCTTATCTACAAGGTGGCCCATAAATAAGTTTACCCTATTACTGAACCGATGGTCAAAATCCTTTGCTTTTTGTTACGTCCATGAACCATTTCGACAAAAAAAATGGCTATCGACAGGATCTAAAAAAGCAAACAAGGACATAAATAACAAACCTTGGTTAATGAGAAATTAGTGTAGATGCAAATCGTTCGGTAAACTTACTCATGAGGCACCCTGTATAGATAAGAACATTCTCATCTCACAAGCTTTACACAATTCACACATTTCCTCTCAAATATGGAGACATTCTGTGCCAGCCGGAAAACTATTTACTGATAGCTATAGATAGCTCCTAGCCAATAGTTTTCCGGGAATTTTTAAAATTGAGATTTCCCCAGAAATTTGCAGCGTTTTAATTAAAATATAACTTAGATGTGCTTCCTAGTAGCCTGGAAGGATTTGATCGAGCCTCAGACAAGACCAAGTGCTGCCTGACAGAGCCACTACAGTAATGCCTTGAATTTCATAGAGGCAACTCGATGTTGGCGGCGAATTTGCTAATCTGTATCCGGAGCAGCCACTAGTGCATTGCATATTCCGTTATGGAGCACCGTAAAAGGTCGACTCGGCATGGTCGTTTGAATAAGGGAACGGAAAACAACGCCGCCAGGGCCATCGGTTGGGAAATCATACGTAACATCGTCCCACTCTCAAAGGTCTGTTGAAAGTTTCTCTGTGTGAATGATGGTGAATTCCCCTTTGCAGCCGGAAAGTCACCTGACTGGGACCTTTACGATGGAAATGACAACATCTGATTTCTATCCTGCGACCCTGTCCACGCATCGAGGAGTCAGTTCACGAGCGATTGCGAGTCGAACACAGTCCAACCCGCCTCGATGTCGTCGGGCCGACATAAACTTCGACCCTCGACGATGCGTCGAGGCTAAAAATTCCCCCCCAACGCTCTCAGACCATCACCCTCGCCCCAGGAAACCCGCTTGCAAGTTCCAACCGTCACCATGGGCGTCCCGCGTGGTCTCCTTTAATTGTGTCCACATGTGCAACGAGACTTTAAAATAAACTTTCACATTCCTCGCGAGAAAGACAAGAATTACGGCGACGATCCACCCTTGAATTGAACCGCAACTGGTAGAATGCCGAAATATTACTTCTTCAGCATGCATGTCTCAGTTTTACTCGATTATTTACACATGCATTCGCTCATTCAGAATATTTCTTTCCTCTCGAATGCTCGTGTAAGCCTTCTGCTTAGTCAGCGCATCGTGGATTCACGATCCGACAAGCCTTGCCTCGGAGACTTTATGAGGCAAGCAAGCATGAGCATGATCTCTTAATGCGGGAGACCCCCACAAGTTGTCTGCATTTGTCAATCCGATTCGATTAAGCGCTATCTCTCTCTCTCTCTCTCTCTCTCTCTCTCTCAATGATCACAGTCTTTAGGATTTCCATCTTGATGTAGAGAAGTGTCCCAAAAGTGAAAGCTCTTTTGGATGTCCCTTCTGGAGTAACTGTTTCGATATTCCACAAAAAAAAATTATCGTAATAATTGCATGCTATATCCTCTGGCTTATATACGGAATATAAACCTCATTCATTCATTCTCTTCATACATTCTCTGTCAGGCTTTTCAATGACCAGGAAACTGACAAAGGAAAAATGTGCGAATTGGCAGTTTAGTGTGGCGTTGTACTCGTATCATTCTGATACTCTGAGGCGTTCTTGAGTTTCATATTTTCCAAGAGCAGTAGGCATGCGCTATGAGCACGCAAATCGTCCCCGTCGATTCGACGACTTTTTCCTGTTTTCAAGCAAATTACAGAAAACTGTTTCGTTACAATTTTTTTCGCCGATTTTCCATTCATAATTGATCAATTGAGTAATAACTTACTTTGTCAATCAAAGACATCCTGCTACTTGTAGGATGCCCTCTGGCTTGCCGTAAATAAATAGACGGGCCGAACTCACATTAATCAAAGTGATAATAAGGAAGTCTTGCTACTGGAAGACAAAAAACGGTTTCCCTTTTTATTTTCGCATTCTGTCATCAATCTATCAGTTTACAAGCTCTACAGTCTACGGACGAACAGAACACTAGCGAAGCACCATTCTAAGCGTAGAGTTTGCAATAAGGATATGAATACTGAGCGAATGCTTTCAAACGGTTCAGGAAGTGGCAATATCACAGAGAAAAATAGCAAGAAGATTTATGTGGTTATGCCGGGCAGATGGATCTTGCTTGAAGCGGGAGTCGGTTCCCTTTGTTGAGTCCCGCGGATGTCCTCTTTGGTCCATTTCTCCCCCAGCTCGTTCAAGAGTTGACCGAAAGTCAAGATCGGGGTGTTGATGCCGATCAGGTACAGGAGATGGAAGTCGCCAAAATCGGCTTTCTGGACGACCGTTTCCAGATTGGCAACCTTGATGGAATACTTCCCCCTCTGCTGAAGCAGCCAAAGTCGAGCGCCGGGCGAGAAGAGGACGAAGAGATGATACAAGAGTCCGATGGCGGTGATAACGGAGAGGAAGACGAGCCAAAACCAGACCACGATGAAGACTTTCTCGTTGAGAATATTCTGAGCCAAGACACAGAGAGCATCTGCGACCTGAATGGTCCCCGAAGGTCCATAGCTATGGATGTAACACTTGGTAACCTTTGGGAAGACCCGGACCAAGGGATCCGTCCTCGTTGTGTAGTCCTTATCGATGAGCTTGAGTACGTCGATTCCATAGGTCAAGAAGGTGCCGCCCAGGAATTTGTCCACGAAGAAAATATTCCCAACGACGACGACGAGATTAAGGACCTCACAGATGACGTACTTGGCAGCATACATTCCGTGGGAATGGCGAGACCGAGTGAGATATTCGACTAGGAGCGACTGCTTAGTGGTCTTCCCGCCTCTGGTCTTCAGCGTTAACTTGTCGCCATTGAGGGCATTGGCGAGACTACGCACTTTCCCGGATTCCCACATTTTCCATAGGCGATGGGGAATTATGAACGTGAGCGCTTGGAGGAACAGTACAACTGGAGCCCACAAGTAGTAGCTGTGGTATACCCTATCCGACTTGTCGCTCACACGGTGGGTCCCAACTCCAGGATAAGGGATCACGGAGCCCACTTTTTTCCCGAAATGATCTCGAATGCTAAACGTCGACTGGATGTAGCAGTATGTATTCATGTAGTTATCGGATATGGGCTTCGCATCCGTGGTGCATTGTATCCGTTCCCCGATCATCTCCTTCCCAGTCAGGATCAGACAAAAGAGGAAGAAGATGGCCGCTGTGAGCTTGTAGTGGAGCTTGAAAAACCCATCGTCGGTGACGACCTTGTCCCTGCGGATGAGGTGGACAGCACTGGTTATGGACGCTCCCACAGCCAAAAGAACCATTTCGGCAAAAGTACGTCACTAGTGGAGCATGGGCACGAGGGGGGTATGAATGGGTGTGCCAACTGGGAATGAAACAGGCCCAGGCCCTAAACGAAAGTGAGCACTCCTTATGGGTCTCCCAAGCTAAGCTTCACGAGTGACAGACATTGCTAAGACCCCTAAAGGCCTTCTGCCGCTTGTGAGTCGTTCAGCCCCTGAGACAGATGATGAGAAACAGATGCGCGCATTGGGTGGGGGGTAGGTGGAGGCTTATTCCTAGGAATGAGCTTCCTCGTGCGACTTGGGAATGATCTGTAAACGATCGATTGCCACATTCTACCCAAGGGATCAAGGTGTCAATTAACGATTACGGAGTTCGTAAGAGATCCGGTGAGCAGTAACCTGCGTTTTCTTCTCAGAGAGAGGATATTGCGACAATCCAAAAAATCCAGAATTCTTCGGTCATGCAACTGCGAAAGCACTTCCACGTTCCATGCCCTTCACATCCAAAAAAACTTCTCTTATGTGGTGTTCGCCAGAACTTGACCAATATCATACCTGGTGAACAACTTGATTCGGAATGTATTACAGTAGTACTGTACAAGCAGATACTTAAAAAAAAAAATCAGCCCGTTTCCTGTGCTTTCTCGAGCTGGTTCTTTCCGTGATTGTTCCCTCTCCCCGGCAACAATTACAGCAAATTGCATGTCATGGGAAAGCTGTCTTCATTCAGTTTTCCATTGACGCACAATTTGGTATCACAGAGGATTTGGATAGTGAGCAACAGAGGGAAACGATGGTATTATACGATCCCGAGAAGGCGCAAGGTGCATGAACTTTTTTCGTAGGGCATACTATAGGTTCTGATGACCTATAAGATACCATTCTAAGGTAAGGACTTCGCACTAACTACAGGTGATAAATCTGCTCTGATCCCTGATAGAGAGAAATCTTACGCCAGTCTAAAAAAATGAGATGAACCTCTTATCTCCGTGTTTCTGTCCTCAGGATGATTGAATTCCTGTCTCATGCAAGTCCTTCATATCCGCCTAGGCGGGCTGAAGAATGCCCATTTCCTTCGCTGCAAAGACTTCAATGCGAATCAGGCAGGTTTGTTCGAGAAAGTATTTTTGAAAGTGGTCCTCGGCACAAAAGAATAGATGGGGATTCCAGAATTATGGGATTATTATTCCTGATTCACGCACTCGCAATTGTCTGCGTTCAGCGCTTTTCGACGGCTCTTGAAGAATTGTCCGGATGCATTGAAGTATATTGATGCAATCCAGCACGTTTGACGGGAAACTTTCACTGGAATTGTGTCTCTTCCGATTCACCTAGTTGAAAGAAGCAATCTTTTCCCTGGAAAGAATTGGGAGACCATAGGAGCATCAAAAGGCTTCTTGCGTCTTCCTAGAACGTCATCTAGAGAATTCTTTCCCACGCAGGAGTAACATTCTGATGCAATACTTGAACTCCTGTTTGTACTTGCCAAGTAACGTTCACATGAAAACTTTTTGGCCCAAAATTGTTCGATTCGCATCGGTGTCCTCACGGTGGAAGAATGGATATTCTTTTCGATTCGGGCTGCCCGAATCGACATGACGGACATTTATCAGACAGAAATCTGATCATCGTGAGTTTGAGAGCAGATCGAGAACAAAAGGCGGTCAGGCCGTATCTTATGCTTGGATCTATCGAATACGCATTGGATTCCTCGGAGACGTTACCGGAAACGCCTCGCCAAGCGACAGTCCCGTGATTCGCTCTTCCCCATCGACGGAGGACGACCCCGATTGGAAGCTGGGCCAGGGCATCTCGAGACGACTCATACAACAGGACCGTTAATGAGAAACCGGGACGTCTTGGAATGGGTTATGCGACGTTGAAGTCGGAGACAGGCCACGCGATATACTGTCGTCGTCGCAGCTCCTAACGGGAATTTCAGCCATCTGGTTCTTGTTGGCAGCATTGGCGTTTTGCTTATGCTTTCCCACGGCTTGCGATGTCGATAACTTCATCAACGGTGCCAAGGATATAATCTACCCTTCACCCATGCGATGATCAAGACTTTCGGAAAAATAAATAGTTTATTCCGAGTCGTCTGGGGTCCCTTGGGGGCTGGTACACGAGCGGAAAGACCGTTCGATGTGTTGTGACTATGCTTGGCTAAAGCGCGACACGGTACAATGAACCAATTAAGAATGGCCGAGCTCCTTGACAATTGGACGTGAAGAAACAAAACGAATCGGACTTAGCCTTGATTTCAGGGGCAGGCGGTTGGGTCACCTGAAATTCGAATTGTGGATTGATCCTGTCCCTTACGGAAATCTAACCGGCCTCCGTTGCGTAACAAGGACGGCCATCGCGATATACGTCCAGGACCTTCCCACCCTGTCTTCACTGTGACGGATGGAAAGCCGCTCGATGGATTGAGAACGGGTGGAAATGGATTCGTGTCTTGCGTGAGGGAAGTTGCAGTCATCATTTTAATCCTAACCATAGGATGTGGGGAGGCTATGGGCGAACGAAAATGTCCCGTTGAGAGTCTGTTACCAATGAAAATTTCAATTTCCCAGTAGTTCAATAATGTGACAACAATCGGTCCAATTTCCATGCTAAGTGACGATTCTGTCACTTTGGAAGCTACGTTTCAGGAAAAAAAAAATTAAAAATAACGAAAGTGCGAAAATGGAAAGGGAACAAAAAGGGGCATGAAGCCTGCTATCCTGCTCGACAATGCAGTCGCACTCTCACGAACCGATCGACAAAGGGTATAAGAGATCCACAGCTCATATGTAACCCCCTTCAACATGCGTGCTCCCCATTTGAAAATAGCATGATTACATGAATAGTATGAACAGCGACTTTGACCCCGAGGTAAATGCCTCTATCGTTGCAACATATTGCAAATGCCGCGATTGGAAACTAGCTATTCATTTCCAAATATGGGCGCATAACATTCGCATACTCAGGAAATGCAATTCGCCTAATACTGGGGAATAATTATATTTTTCCTTCCTATTTCAAATATTTCTCGAGGGATTATTTATATTTCCATTTAAACATAATTTTGAGAACATACTAACTTTCGAATACAGAACGTTTTTTGGAAGTTTCATTAAATTAAACTAATCTTTTGAACCATAGCATCTCAATGATTAAATGAGTTCAAATGATCAGCTAATGAGCTGAGGCCAATCAGGTCCTATCCGTAACTTATAGTATTGGGTTACTCTCATCCTCTTAAATTTTGCAAAGTAGCTGGACCAAAGACAGAAATCTCCTTGGTAGAGTAGAATTTTTTCAAAAGTCCCTTCAGCAGACGTTGACTCCTCAAGCCTTTTCTAGCTGTAGATTTTACACCAGATTAAAATATTTCGCCTTTTTCCCTTTCCCCTCTCTCTTTTTCAAACCTGAGAAGAGAGAAATAATAGGATAATTTGACTCAGAATAAGTTTTAAAATATTAAATTCCAGTTAAATTCAACTTTCACGACTCGTAGTTTACGTGCGAACAGGGTCAATACAGTCTTCTCTTTTATATTGACTCATTGCACTGCTGTCCACGAAATTAACGAGCATTGGAATGCTCCAGATAGTTTTATGGAGATAATAATGATGATACTTTTTCTATTTTCTGTTTTGAAAGAATTTATTAGAACATTTTCAGTAATTTCTATTTCAACTTCCATTCTAAGAATAGATTGAACGTATGCTCTCGCTTTTGCCAAATCGCTAGTAATCTATCCCTCTTCATAGATTTCTTGTCTCGATTACGTCACGAGAAGGAACACCAAGAGTTCCTGGTCATGGCATTCTGGTCACGCTTGAAATCTCCGGAATTCAAACCTCGGCGCTTCAAATTCAATATATTGAGTTTTTATTCCCTCTTTTTTAGTTGTTGGACAGAACTGAAGTTCTAAAAATAATGATTAAATTCTCCGGTGTCGAATCTAAACGGTCCCTCTCCTCTTCAGAGCTGGCTCCAAATTCGTCAAAAATTTGCTGAAGATTTGAGGATCCATATTCTTGCCGAGTTGGTAGAGCATGAACCAGGGACCAACGCCATCGCAAAGCTCGTTGACCGATGTTACAGTGTTGACATTAGAGAACCTCGCTCTTGCTCTGAGAAGATGCAGGCGAACGGTATCCACAAAGACAACCGCAAGCCGGTAGAAGAGTCCCAAACCGGACAAGACCGCCACGATGACGAACCAGAACCAGATGAAAACCATGATCTTCTCGTTGACGATGTTTAAGGGGAGAACGCAGAGACCATCCAACTTCATGATCGTACCCGATGGACCGTACTTGTGGAAGGTGCATTTGGTGACCTTTGGGAATACTTTGGCCATTGGATCCACTCGTTCCGCGGGGTCCAATTCAGAAAAATTCCACACATCGGGGCCATACGTCGAGAATTCCCCGTCCAAGAAGTGATCCATGAAGAATATTTGACCGATGACGTTGATGAGGTTGAGGACCTCACAGAAGAAGAACTTGAACGCATACCAGCGCATGGTGTGGAAGTTATCTGTGAAATACTGCACGAGGAGGGCGAGCCTATCCTTTTTCACACCTTTATCGACAATGGGGCAGTTGAGTTGCTGAATCAACTTCTCCAGCTTTTTCCCTTCCCAGGACTTCCACAGGAAGCGAGGGGTGTAGAAGAGAAGAGCTTGAAAGAAAAGGAAGAAGCACACCCATTGGTAGTACTTATGGTACATGGCTTCCTCCCCTTCTCCCTGCAATCCCACGCCAGGGTGGGGTACATCTTCGCCGACTTTCCCAGACAGAAGGCTGGGGAGCGTGAACGTGCTATGGATCCAGCAGTATGTATCCATGATTTTGGCTGGGACTCCGGACACAATGCAATCGATTGGGTCGCCGATGTATTGCTTGGCAGTCACCAGGAGGGAAAAGGAAATCAGGATCACCACAGTTGCTTTGTAGTGGAGACGGAAGATCACATTGTCGATACTTATCTTGTCGAGCTTAAAAAGTTTAGTGACACTTCCAAATACGTCAAACATGGTGCTGGCGATTCGAGGACTCTACGAAATGGCCGAGGAAACGTAGTACTTGCAGGCTGCTAGTGTTGCCAGGACTGAACTGCTCTAACACAACTTATCAGCTAGCGCAGAGATAAGGTATCAAGAGCGGATGAGGAAAGCTATGTTCAAGAGTTATCACTTCAGGCAGACTCTCGTTCGGAGTTCATCTTGGTGTAAGGGACAAAATGATCTCCATTCACTAGGAAAATTTCTGTGAAGTTAAAAAAAAAATTATTTTATCCAAACGGTTTTTCAAGAGCGAGTATATTGGTTTCATGGCGTTACTCTATACGTACGGCCCTCACACGACCCCAAGTGGGGTAGGAGAGAAAACAAGGTCAGACTTGTACTTGCACGGAAAGGTTATTTTGCATAGCTCAAGTTTTCGCGATCCAATGCAAGATCTGCATTAATTCCTAGCCTGTCGATCAATTCGTGCGGACCAGGAGAGTCTAACTGCAAACGGTGCGCTGCCAGTTTCGAATCCCTAAAACTTTCTCTCTCTCCCCTCCCCGTATCTTTGTTCAAATATTGAAAAATATATAATCAAAGTTCGGGCAATATCTACACTCCAATACCAAAAGTTTCGCACTGTGACGTATTTTTGAGTGGGGGGGGGGGGGGGGCAGAGCAACAGAGCGGTGCGCCAATCCCACCTGAGCGATATCAGGGGAGAAAATTTTTGCGCCAGGGGGAGCTGTCGCCCATGTCAATAGATAAATCCTGCCGTAAGATAAAGAGCAAATGAAGCGCCATCTTTGGGTCAGTGGGAGTGAGGATCACTAGGCGGAATACCGTTCTTAAAATTCTTTAAATTTTTTCAAGGTCTCCCCAGAGAGACACCACATCCAGACAAGGGTATCTCACCTGCAAACGATGATTCACGGATGGTGACGTTTATGCAAATACATGACTTTGCATTTCATTGTCCACAAAAGGACTCCCACGTACTCGTCTCGGTGCCATTTTTCACTTGAAAACAAAACAGACTTCCAAGTGTCAATCGAGTTGTCTTCAGAAGGGTTAAGTCAACATAACAACAGTCCCTTGGAAGGTAGGTTGGTGAACCCACACATCGCCATATTATTATGTATGCAGTGAAAGGTGTGATCCCCGAGTGCTTTTCGATCGAGCCAACATTTCTATCTAGATCCCGGTGAATGAAGGAAACGCCCACACTCTAGGTAATATGAATGGCGCATAATTTTCAGAAGTCGAATGGAATCCCTCAATCATTAAGGCTCCCTTGCCTAATGCCTCCTCTTTCACGAATGGAAATTGAAGGTTATTACGTAGCCTATGGCTGTGTTCGTTATGCACAACGGTCAGCCTCTTGGCGATATCCGTCTTTCACTTCATGAAGAAAACATGCTCGAAGATACAAGTTGCATAATGTTACGCATTCGAGGTATCCCATCCTTGGATTACGGTACCGCAAAACTTGCGTCTCTTACTAACTTTCCTCGGAAGATTAATCATACTAAACAAACGGACTGCCGGCTGTTCCTCATGACGGATCTAAGTTTCTCAGTCGAGGGAGTGTCGCTTCTGAGAAATCAGGGGGGGGGGATTTCGAAGGGAGGTCCTTCCCGGCACGACAAGCCTCTTCCTCTTTCTCAATGACGCAGGCGTTCCTTTCTTTTCCCAACTGCACTCCGACCTTCATTCTCACGGCACATGTCACGCACATGAGTGCTCTTGAAGAAAACTGGGGAAACCAAATTTAAAAATCTGACGCTAGGCATGACACTTCATGCTGCGTTCTACGACACGAACTATACGGGAAAAGAGATTATTCCCATGAGCAATTTTCCTTCCGGCGACTTTGAAGCAGTAATTCTTCTGCATAAAAGGTAAATTGCGGCTAGAACTTTACGCCATGCATGGCTATACCGAGTTCTGCATTCTGTGCTATAATAGTAATTTTAAAAAATCTGTTTCAAGTGCAGACAAATAAGTGCCTTAATTTATATTTATATTTTTGCTCTTTCCTAAGAAGTGACGGAAGTGGGCGTAGTGATCCCAGAAATTGCTTTAGCTGGAATAAGGAATTATAATGAGAAGTCCAAGGTTTCATCAGAACAGAACATCAATGACCTATTACGTGTTTTAAACATGTTGTTTCTTCTATGTCCTCCATAGAAAAACTCGGAGTCCTTCGATTCATTCCTTCCATTTGGCCAATGATGTCATCAGGGCAAGAGGTTCACGGCCGTCAAGACCTCGGAAGGTCAGCAAGTTTCTTGCCCTTTACCGAATCGATTGCATTGACGAAGAAGTGAACTCAAAGGAAGGGCTGATTCATCCTTGAGGGACAATTGAATTTTCGTGAATATCCACTGACTTCCCCTCTCTGGAAAATTGTGTATTGGCGTAAAACTTGAACTTCTCATTACCAGTTGAAATCATTAACTGTACGACTAAAAAGTGAACACAAATAAATGCATATTCTTATTGATGGTTACGTCATCTTAAAATCATTTTTTTTAAAGAAAATATAAAAAAAGACTACTTCAGTTATACAGGGTGCTTCACAAGTCGCTTGGCCGGTATCCACATCACAGCACTGGCTCCATTTCGTAGCCACTAAGCGACAGATTCCATCGCATTTGTTGATGCCGAGACCAGGAAACTAATCGGATATGTAGTCGGTCATTTCCTGCACACTGCAAGACCTTCTGGCGACTCGTTCTCGGACGACACCCCAAGCAGTTTGGTTAAACGATTCATGAAACATCCGTTTTAGTAGTTTCATGAGAATACATATCTTTCTAAGATAACATTTTTAATTATTACATTTTCCTTCGATGAAAGCATACGCAAGCGTTTAACTTATTTAGAGTGCAGTAATAGGCGTAGCATTTAATGAACGAATTTAAGCGAACTGATAACTTTTCAGTACTGGTGCATGCTGATGGAGGCTTGAAACTCAGTGCTGCGAATACTCAATTTCGGGGCTCAGCTAAAATACAGAACAAGTGCTCCAAGCACAATATCAGACAGATCCATACTTATGGTGATACTCAGAAACCACAGCTAAATTGAGTTCTGACCTTTCTTCCCACTAGCTCAAGGAAATCAGGATAATAAGTTGTGTCCTCGTCAGTGTGTCAAAGCAAGAGAGAGCTGTCACTTTTCGAACACTCCTTTGCAACTAGACATCAAGGGTGGAATTTTGAACAGAGAACTATCGAATAATGCTGCTTTATTTCCAGAAAGTATCATAAATAGCTACATTATCAGATAGTTCTCTGTTCAAAGACCCACTCTTAATTTCCTCTGCCAGCATTTAACGCTTCCAGGATGCAAATTCTTCGACAGGAAATACATTCAGAGTAGGGCCTCTGAGATCAGGCTTGTTATGCGAGTACCACCAGGTCTTTCGAATTAAGAGGACCAGACATAATTTCTTGAAATTTATTGCTTCTTGCTTCCAGGACATCACATGGCAAAAATATACAAATTCTCAAGAGGCACTATGAACAGGCACATTTTGGATTGCATTCCGAGATATACAATATCTGAACCTGGATCGAGAATATTCATGAAAGCGGAACCAAGAAGCGAGAACACATGCTTTCTAGCCGAGAATTCCCTGATTCTTCAGCGGATTATGCTGCAATAGGTACCGAGCGAGATTCATGAAGTAGGCACTATTTAGTTGGTCCTCAAATTGGTCCCAATTGGCTTCAACTATCTTCTTTTAAAATTTTCAGATTAGTCTCTTCGTTTCAACCCTGATTGACATTTTTCACATTGGTCCCTTACAATCAACCACCTGATACCTTCCATGAAAAAAAAAGGCTGGAGAGAAAATATTGCAATCTACATGTCACCTACAACAAAACACCATCCTATGTATCACAATTGCAAAATAAATCTGAATAATAAAAAAACACTCAATCAGATGAAGCGGAATATACAGACTGGAAGACTCCGGATGCAAACATGAGCGTCACGATTAATTCAGAGGAGTTGCGGATTTCAGTGGAACTTGATCGGCAACGGAATTACTGATTGAGATTTCTTTACTACAAAAGATTACAGTTGGTCATGAAAGGCCCGTCAAAATGGAACATGAGAAGCTATCACCGCGACAAGCGCGTTCCATCTCTCTTTTTATCTATTCCACCTAGAGATTGCATATTCTTATTTCAAGAAAAAAAAAGCGTGAAGACTTTGATGGCTTAGCATCACACAGCTTCCTTGCCCTCCAATCTGCGAGCAAGATCGTGGATGAATTCCTTGTAGATGAGGGGATCCATGTTCTTGCCCAGCTGATACAGAACGAACCAATCCCCAATGTGGCATTTCCGATTGATGGTATCGATGTCCCCGGATGGAGCCAGCCGAGATCGTGCTCTGAGCAAATACAGCCTTGTCTGGGCCCTCAGCACTACGGCGAGTCGGTAGAGCAGAGCCAGGCCGGACAGAACGGCCAGGATGACGAACCAAAACCAGATGAAGACCATGATTTTCTCGTTGACGATGTTCAGAGGCAGGACGCAGAGACCGTCAATTTTCTGCACGGTCCCTGAAGCTCCGTACTTGTGGAAGGTGCATTTAGTGACCTTGGGGAAAACCTTTGCCATAGGATCAACTCGATCTTCTGGCTCCAACTCCGTGAAACGAACCACGTCGGCTCCATAGGTCGTGAATTCTCCTCCAAGGAAAGTATCCATGAAGTAGATCTGCCCGATGACATTGGCGAAATTAAGGACTTCGCAAAAGAAGAACTTGATGGCATAAAAATCTTGATGATGGAGATTGGTGAGGAAATACTCGATGAGGAGCTTCTTGCGGTCGTTCTTGGCCTGTTCCTCCACGATGGGACAGTTGAGATCCAACACAAGCATCCGGATCTTTCCGCCTTCCCATGTCTTCCACAGATACCGTGGAATGTAGAATAGCATGGCCTGGAAGAAGAGGAAGAAGCAGACCCACTGGTAGTACATGTGATGCCGTAGTTCTTCCCCTTCCTTCGGGAGTCCCACCCCGGGATGGGGGATATCTTTCCCGATTTCTCCGGTCAGTCGATTCGGGATGGTGAAGGTGCTGTGGATCCAGCAGTAGGTATCCATGACATTTTGTGGAACGCCATCGACGATGCAGTCGATGGGGTCGCCGATGTACTGGCGACTGGTCACTGTCAGTGAGAAGGCGACCAGAAAGATCACCGTGGCTTTGTAGTGCAAACGGAAGATATTGTTGTCAATGCATACTTGGTCGATCTTCAGTAGTCCCTTCACTGAGCCGAACACGTCAAACATGGTCGGTTGAGTTTACAGACACCGACCTAAGGAATCGTAAAGCTCTCCTTCGGAGAGCGTAGGTTATAACCTGAAAAGCGTCAGAGATTTCAATCACTTGACTAATCCTGAATATAGACACTAATACTTGGAGATGCGTGCATAATTGCAGGAGCATACATAGTGCTGCCTGGCCGTGGAAAACGGAATGTTGTATCTCCTGCTATTAACTGGAGACGAGGACCGATATAGCTTCATTTCGGAGGAATCCAACGCGCGATCACGTATGACCCTGGTAGGACGGTTGCTCAATGGGTTACAAACGCGGGGACATCGATGTACAGGGTTGGCAAGTTTGCAAGAAACTAGGATAATTTCAAAAGAATGCTGCAAAAGAGTGCACATTCCTTTATTCAGTAAGTTATTTTATAGAGAAAGCGCGCATCGAACGCTTCATTCCATGCTATAAATGTAGTAACCCCTGGTATTAGTACATCTGTATGCTTATATACTATACGAATATGCTTTAAGCGCGATCGAAATTCCCATCACTGAAAATTACTTCAGTGCAATGATTAATCACACACTAATTCCATGAAAAACAGATTCACTTCACTAGTCAGAAGCGCTTATGACATGAACTGTGCCCGTTTTGGCCCGGATGAGAAATGATCGTCTTTTCCCCATGACCAATAGTCTCGAGAAAGGACCTCATTACAGCAGTACTTTCAGATCATGGCCATAATTAATCAGATATGTCGACCATGCATGCATGTTGAGAAGACAAAGATTCCACACGGCATACTCTGTAATATCGAACCAAAACGCGAGCGGGTGCATTTCATTGCGGTTCTACTTCCATTCGCATCTGGCTTCCAGTTTTGCCATACACAGGAGGCTGTCCTTGTCGCACCGCTTTGCGGCAGTGCTCGGCACTGAACAGCAACGAAACATAAAACAAGGAAATTGGGGCGCCATTTCCTGGAGTTTCACCATTTGTTCCGGAACCTTTGTGGGTTTGATTACACGAGGTAAAGGTCCACAGGAACTCGAACCCAAACGTAACCCTTCGTAAAGGCTTCCAAATCTTGTAAACAAATACAGTGCGCATCAGCGAAAAGTACGATGCCTTAGACTGACTCGGGAGATCCATAAAAACTTTTCTGAGACAGCATCTTGTGGGATTTCGAATGGCCCACTTTCATTCCTCTCTTGATAAAACTGACAATTCCACGGCGATGCGAATTTACAGCTCGGTAACAGCTAAGCGCGTACCCCCTAAAAGAAATTGTACTCCCCATGTCTCCAGATGAATTCAACTGGAAATATGCCCCATCCATTGGGATTCTTTTTATTTAAAATAAACACCAACTTAACCTGGCCTAACTTTAGGGACAACACAATATCCCTAGGGGGTAGGCGCTTAACCATAACCTTACAGTTCCATCTATAGAGAGGACCTCAAGAAACGCATTGGCATGGCTCCTATTAGCTATTTTCAGCAAATATGCATGAGACCAATTGCCCTATGAATACAAGCCTGACCCGAAAGATCCATAGGTCGCCTGCCTGGATATTAAAATATGAACTCTACCTAGGAATATGCTTGACCCGTATGGTGATTCCCCATGGCTAATGTGATTACTGCTAAAAATCATCAACGAATACTATAATGAGGCTGACGTTCTATAGAGATGACCTCCGTGTCGAATGCAAATGCATGTAGTGGCACGGCTATCAAACGGGAGCCAGGCAGCACTCGGTCCAAAGTATTCAACAGTGGAATACGCGTGACTTATCACCACAAACATGGGTACCCCCTTAACTGAAACCTTCATTCATTTCACTCGGCAAAAGAGATCACATCTCGGTGAGACACGCGCATTTTCACTTGCACCAGAACAGAGAGAAGGATACCGAAACGCGAGAAGACGCTTGGGCCGAACCGCAGGCCTGGGCCCGGGCCTCGAAGCAGCACAGTTCCGAGTCGATGCTGACTCTCACGACTGGAAGCGTTGTCGCCTCAGGCAACTGGGCCGGCCCAAGCCAGACCCGACACGGTTGCTAATCCCACGAACTCTATCACCTCTTCAACCGATCTACTTTCTGGTTCTGTCGAGCAAATTCTTCTAAAACACTGTAATCAAGTGTTCTGAGTAGTGAACAGAAGACCCTAGCAAGGCATTTAGCATGCTTGGCCAATGCAAGTATGGAACTGGGACATGGGATTCAGCAACCCTGGATAACCATTTTGGAGCCCTATGGAGGAGGGTACGTCCTGTGACAAAGAAGAATTTAAGTGCAACGCATGTCATGCGGAGTTCTAACTATGCAATGTGCCATTGTGGCATTGTAGGTGCTGCATACTAAATTGTCTCACTGCATTTAACGTAATGGAATGTCCCGATCACGTACCTTGCGGTCAAAGAGGACGACACTAAGCGGGGTAGGACCATGATTACGTCACGACCCACAATATGGACGTTACCCTTCTAAAATTGGGGTTAAGTGGAACTGATTACTAACAGGCCGATATGAGAGGCGCCTTGAGAACTTACAAGGATAAAGAGATCGGTCAAGGAGTGGAATGCCCTGCAGTTCTCCACCCTTGATTCTAGAATGCGAGTGAGAAAAATTCTGGGGGCAATGAACTTATAACTGTGACATTCCGCGGAACTGTTCCACGACTCTTCTCGACCCATCGTTTTCCCTTATTTCCCTTTAATGATTTTTTTTTGTTATGACGGAAAATGTTGGTCTTTGTCCTCTCTCGAATTTGAGAGGTTCTGAGGCACCCTGGGTTTTAACTCCACCCAGGAGGTGAGGTCGGAATGCAAACCAGCAGTCAGGGGGGTGGTGGGAGGAGGGAACGCCATGCAATCGCCCAGTCACGCATGCCTCTCATAGCAGGCCCATGGGAAAACAAAATCTCCCCCCCCCCCGCCCCGGGTTGGCTCCCTCCCTTTTCCCCTTCTCCCCTATTTAGCTCAGCTGAATCCGTCGCGGCGCGCCTCTCCACGAAACGGAAGGGGGAGGGAGAAGAAGGAAGGGCAGTGACCATTCTGTTTAGCGGAGTCCAGTTCACCCCAGTACGAATAAATATAGAACGAGACATAAGGAGGGGGTTCAGATTATCTCTCATTTCTTGAAATGGAAAGGCCTTGGGCGGTACAAACCAGAAAGGATAAGTCGTCTGCATACAGAGCTGAGTAGTACGTTTGATGGGTTGCTGGATGGAAGAGAGAAACCTGCTCCGTCTTTCATCTCTGTCGTCGATGACATCGCCCAGAGATAGAAGGCTGAACAAGGCTCTCAAGGACTTCCATTTCAACTGCCTCTAATCCTAGATGTTTGTTCATCCTCTCCACATGACAGCAAAAAACTCAGCCTTTCCAGGCAGGAGCTGACGCTGATCGTCACTCTTCCCCAACAACAGATGATTGTGATAGATCCAATTGACACATGGTTTCATTGTGTCTGGAGACAAAGACGCATTCGCCGGGTGAGTGACAATTAAATACCAAGGATAACGGGCTTCGCCATGCCCTGTCGACTGTTCAGTGTTTTACTGCATTGGTTCGATGAGGAAATTCTCGCTTCATTGAATACCAGGCTAGCAAACAGAGCGAGGCAGCCTGTCATTGGTATTCGTTACAGAAAGCACAAACATCATGAGATATATGCCAGTCGCGTTGCACAGAAGGATTCTGGGCCACAATATGACGCATGCGGCCACACGCGTATGATCCAAAGCAGCACTCGATTGAAAGGGAAAAGAGGAGAGAAAAAAAAAAAATACTCACCCGACGCAAATGAAACTCTCCTCATTTGGGTTGCTCTTGCAACGCACCCAAGATGGAGGCACTTCTGTTGATGCCGGTTCTGAAAATGTCAAGAAATATTTCATGAACTTCTTTGATTGCATGGCTTCCAATTCTTATTAGTACGAAACTTCGATGAATTACGAAATTTAATTAGATCTGAATCAAGAAGGATCCGAAGTTCTTCGCATTCCATGCCAATATGGAGAGAATTTGGCAGACGAAAGAGATGAGTCTGACACCTAGCGGCGAAAAGGTTAAGTTCGGTTTCACATGGCATCAATGAGAGTGCAGACGCCACAGAAGTTCATTCTGCCCACAGGCCGGCAACACCAACTGACCAATCAGAGCCCTCTCAGCAAACGTCTTAGGCGTCCGTCATGCCATTCAGCATGGTATGTGCCTTTGGCTAAATAAGACCTTGGAGATAATTCTCAACGAATCACAGATTTTGTGTTAATCTTAACAAGATGGTGGACCCAGCATTCTAAAGTCTCAAGTGGGCTCAAGTAGGAGCATACTACGGCATTCCAAACAGGATATCGTTCGTTATGTCAATGTACCCTTTCTCAAGAAGTATTCTATGTCGGTGACGGATCGTTTATGCGACTGCATCAGGTGGAGAAAAAAAATCGCAAATCAGTAGCAAAATTTTGGCTCGTATCTGTTTCTTTCCCGACAGTTTCTCTTTCGAGGCAGAAAGCGTGGCTACCCATTGCAAAGCAAGGAGAGACAGTGTGGGTCGGTAATAAGGGCAAAACGTTCGCAAATTCGAGTTCGGTGATGCGATCGCAAGGAATGATCGCCATCGGTAAGGATCGAGAAGCCTCTCACAAGACACTTGCATCCCTTTCTTCATGGTCAAAACCAGCCTAGTTTTCTCAAAATCGATTTTCGAGGGGAAAAAGGCTCTTCACGTCTTTCTTCACATGTTCACAACCTCAAGAGTTCCTTTGTGAATCTCCCGAGAATGCTTTGTGTTTTCTCTCACATATTCCGATTTTAGAATGGCAGCCCGTGGATTCACGGCCTGACAAAGCCCTTTTGAAGTAGGGAGGGTTCAAATAACGAACTCGGCATTTACTTGAGTATTATCTGGCCCCGTGACGATGCTTGTTAGAATCTATCCATCAAGCCTGGATGAGAAACGCCATTATCAAGGGACTGACGTAG